AGGGTTCCCCCATGCTGTCCCTTGGCACCCCATTCATGTTTCCTGGGGCAAAACGGGAAAATGGAGTGAATTCAAGGTCTTCTCATACTCTAAGTGGCCAAAGCAGCAGACATCCCAAGGCGTGGTGCAACCCTGGCCATGCCATAAAGAAACATCAATGCAAGTACATTGAGGACAGGCTGGAGGAACTGGCTTTGCTTCATCTAGAAAAGACATGACCTGGGGGAGAGAATGACAATAGCCTTCTAGTATGTAAAAGGTTGTTACAAAGATGGCGGTAATCAAATTATTCTTCGAGTCTTTTGAGGGTCACAGAAGTAGTAACTGGCTTCATGGGCCGCAAAGTTAGATACTGAGGTGCAGGGGAATCTGATCCCCTTCCCCTACCTGATCTGCAGCTTTGCTTTCTGCTCCCTGCCCTAGGCTTCCTGTCCCATCTGCTGCTCTGCTTTCTGCTCCCTGCAACTCTGCTGCTGTTTTCCCTGATCTGCTGTGTACCATGCACAGAGGCTGCCCGTACTACCTGTGGCATAGGTGCTGCAAGCTGGCCACCCCTGGACTAGATCATCTCCCTTCCAGCCCTGTGCACAAACCTCTTACTCAAGTATCTTAGAACCAAATTCCCTCCAGCTTTAGTGAACCTGCCTTGGCAAAATATTGGGCAAGTGGGAAAGAGAGGCGATAGCAGGACTCACCTACCTCTGGCTTCCATTGCCTGATACAGCGCTGCGAATACTAGGAAAGCAATGAAGACCCAGATGGGCTTTCAGAAGCTATTGCCCATGCTCTGACTGCAACCCAGTGCCCTGGCAACAATTCGTAGGGTAGATCTAGTCCTGTAGGATGAACAGGCACATCTCCCTTGAGGTCAATGGCTTGGTGCCTGCTTCTCCCAGCAGTGAATTGGGTCCAGCATGTGTAATAGGGGACCATGGGGCACCATCAGGCTAAAAGATTCATGACCAAAGGGCCAGTCCACTAATATCAAGATGTTTGCTTCCACAGCTTTGTTCCTCCAAAGCACCTTTGCTGCTGGTAATTCGTGACGTCTCTCCACGCCCCGAGAGCTTTTGTACATGGGTGAGCAGAGGCACGGAAGGAGAAAGGGATTTGCCTGGGGTCACACACTGAGGCAGTGGCAGAGCTGGGAGCAGAACCCCGAAATGCTGACCTCCATCCTCTGCTTTTATAGCTAGATCCCAGCAGCCCGGCTGAGCAGGTGGCATTCAGCTAGCTCTCCGCCCTACACACAAATATCAAAGCAATTCCTCACACAAAGACCAACACAGAGTCTTCCAGCCCAACAGGGATAATGTCGTAGCCAGTCTTTTCTTATCTATTCATCCACCTGTTTCTGCTGGTCCCATAGGCATTGTAAGGCAGGGAGTACGTCGGTTCTGGAGCATTGATCCAATAATCAACTGTTCTCTGTGATCTCTGCTTCTCTTCCTGCTGCACAAGCAAGCGCCGAAGCTCCTCTTGGTCATTAAACGGGTTCCTGCCATACTCGCATCGAATCCAGGCTCGGTACTGCCGGGACAAAACCAAAATGAGTTGTGAATGCCACGGGGGAGATGCAACAGAGCTCTGGTTTTTTGTTAGATGAGCAGTTGCGCTTGCAGAAGGAGAACCTGTTCCCTTTTCTACCTTGAATTCTTGCAATGCCAAATGAAATTGGGCTTGTTTCTATGCATGCTTTCACTGCAGGGATAGTAAAACTTTGTCCTGTGAGATCCAGAGGGGTTTGGGGTGCGGCCTAAGGTCATAAAATATTTAAAGGGCCCCTTTGTAGCCACCCCTTTGAGCCTAATTTGTGCACACGGATACTGCATCCGCATATCCAGTTACACACACAACTAGCTAGAGAGACACTAGACATTTGTACCTGTTGCAATACGCTCGAGGGTGCAGCCACAGGGGATGGGGAGTTTGTCCGGCACACCTGGCCTCAGCTGCATTTGAAAGCTTGAAACCAGAAATTTCCAACTCAAAAAAGAACTGGTCTCCCTTTTTGGGACAGCTAAGGCAGGAGCAGAAATGCTCAATATAATTTCTGCTGAACTTAGCAGGAGAGGCAGTGTGACAAACTGTTCAGCAGCGCTAATCGTAGCACAGATGGAGTTGTGTAACCACATTTGCTCTTGCTCGTGCATCTGCTTCATATTACAACAGTGCAACACTGTTCTGCACTTTTAGGCCTGAGAAACTTCTGAAGTTCCTGCTCTTTCTAATGCCACGGAGTGACCTTGTGTCTTTCGTGGATGGGAACTTGGACAACCAGCATCTGCCAATTTGATGTCTTATCGGTATCACCAGCCCATCGTAAAAAATACGGCCAACTGGATTTGAGCTGAGATTCTGGTAGTTGGAAAACAAAGCGTGGCTACCGTGACTCTTTGGGACATGCACATTATTCTCCCAGCCAGGTCACGACAGGAAGGAGACAGCATGTGGGAAGCTATGTCTAAAGGTATAGCTAGCAGGAGGCCAGCACAGGTTCTGCATACATTATGGCCAAGTGTCTGAGAAACCTTGAAACTTCCTCCTGGGGGAGACTGGATGGCGGGGATGGGTCAGGGCTGGGACCCACAAAGGCAACTCCTATGTCTCCTATGCTCCTTACAACTCCCAGTGTAATCCAGACTATAATCTCTTCATGCAAAGGGCTGTCTCACATGATGGAGCCCTGGTGTCTACACCCTGCCATGATCCTACAAATAATTTGACTAAACTAAGCTTTGTAGTGGCCACAGGGGAAATATGGGAATAGGGCTGCGAGGAAGTGGGATGGGGCATGGTCGTGAGAAAACCTAGGTGTGAAGCTGGACAGGGAAGAAGTTTGAGGCCGAATCCTTTTCGGTATTTCTCTTCTGCAACTCCGTGTCTGCCCAAGGGAAGCTCTCCTCCCCCATCCACTCCCTTTCTGACCATGAAGGGAGCCCCCAAGCTTAGCTCTTGAATGGGTAACGTCTGCCAACATCCTGGGACTTTCCATTGGAAATTTCTGTGTTTCCAGTTCCAATCACTTTCCAGCTACAGAGCCCGCTTCATCTAGTGCACGCTCACCGCTGTGAACCAGGAAGACTCTCAATAGCTCCATTTCCATGCAAGGAAACAGCACGCAGGCAGGGGAATCCTACACCATCACTGGATCGACTCCCCTGCAAACTGGAGTCGGCCCCAAGCGAACGGTGCACTGAAATCCCACAGATCTCGCTCCCCCCTTGTTTGCAGAGGATATTATGTATAGGTGTATATGTTCGGGGCTGACACTGGTTTAGCTCTCCGGTTCCAGTGACTGACTCCAGCGGGATGGGAACAGCAGGCCTGATATTATGATGCCAGGTCTTCTGCACGGAGGTTTTTATGGGAGCTCACAAAACAAGACCTTGGAAGGACTTGCTGTGCAAACCTACTTTGGGTCTCCTTGAACTTGCACTTGGCCCATACAGTGGGAGCATCCCGCACTGGGGGTGACAGTGGACAGTAAGGTGGATAGGAGCCGACAGTGTGTCCTTGTTGCAAAAAAAGCTAAGGGCATCCTGGGCTGCAGTAGTAGGAGTATTGCTAGCAGATTGAGGCAAGTGATTCTTCCCCTCTATTCTGCACCAGGGAGGTCACATCCAGAGTCCTGGGTCCAGCTGTGGGCCCCCCACTACAGAAATGATGTGGACAAACTGGAGAGAGTCCAGCGGAGGGCAATGAAAAAGAGTTGATGGGTTGGGGCACGTGGCTTCTGAGAAGAGGCTGAGGAAACTGGGCTTACTGAGATTGGAGAAGAGAAGACTGAGGGAGGGTTTAATAATAGCCTTCAACTCCCTGCGAGGGGGTTGCAAAGAGGATGGAACTGGTCCGTTCTCAGTGGGGGCAGATGACAGGACAAGGAGGAATGGGCTCAGGCTGCAGCAAGAAAAGTTGAGGTTGGATGTTAGGAAAAACTTTCTCACTAGGAGGGTGGTAAAGCACTGGAACAGGCTCTGCAGAGAGGTGGTGGACTCTCCATCCTTGGAGGTTTTTAAGACCCAGCTTGACAAAGCCTTGGTCGGGATGATGTAGTTGGGGCTGGTCCTGTTTGAAGCAGGGGGTTGGACTAGATGTGACCTCCTGAGGTCCCTACAACCCTGATTTTCTCCAATTCTATGCTGGTGGTAAGAGTTCGGCTGCTCCACAGGAGTGGAGAGGGCAATAGGACAACAGAGCAAGCAGCGGAAAGGGAGCTGGCAGCAAGCCTGCACTAATGAACAGCCTGGCTGTGGCTTGCCAAGAGGGATTTCCCAGAAAGAAACTCACTGCCGGTTCCTATCCCTGCATATTGTCATCAAAGCTCAGCTATAAAGGAGCATCTCTTATCTTCTCATGACCCAATCCTCCAGCCACTGAGGCACATGCTGCTCCTGTTCTCTAGCTGGTGGCACCCAGATACCTCCTGGGTCTGCTCTGGGCACCGACATTGCAGCAGCATTGGCAGGTCTCTGCACCGCCAGGCTCCCTTCGCACAGGTGCATTGCCAGTCACCCGTTGGGCATGAATAGCAAGCCCCAGGGAACCACCTCCACAACAGGAACAAGTACCAGCCTGCAAGGCCAAGTTTCAGCTCCCCCCTCTCCAGGAGCCCTTCCCCGGGAGCTGACTCTCTGACTTACAGAAAGGGGAAAGTGAAAGCCAGCCATGAAAGACCGGGTCTGACTCACAGGGAAAACTCTCTCTGCACCAAGGAACAACTAAGATGCATTTCACACCCACTTCCTCCACCCCCATCCCAGCCCACTTAACTGCCTCCCCTTCTAAGACTGCATTTTTCTCTATTCCTCCCACGGGCCTGAGCACAAGGTATGCTGCAAGAGGCACAGGATCATCTGGAATTGGTGCCGTCTGGATGAACCTCCCTATGTGGGAGGCGGAGGTATTCTCCACGTGTGGTTTATCGTGACCACTGGGTATTTCCGGCTTGTTCTCTTCCCCACCCGAGTGTTTTCTGTCCTGCAGTTGGCTACTTCCTTTTATAAGTGCATCCATCACCAGCTCCTCCCTTCCTGCTTCATCTAGCTAGCCCCTTCCCCGCTTCCAGTGCCATTCCTCTGTCACTAACCCCCAGCTGGATTAGGGAGCTGTACCTCCCGCTTCCATCCAGGTTTCCTTTTAATTGAGGTCTGGAGCAGTCAGAGTGACACCAGTCAGCAGGTCTTACCCATTTCTAACTCCTGGGGTGCTGCTTTATATGCCCAGTCCATAAACTGAGGAACTGAAAGGGATACTAGAGGCCAGAATCTGATCTACTGATCAAGCTTATAGGACCCTTCCACTGCCCCTGTGGACCTTCTCATCCCTTGTAGTTGCATATGAGTATTGTATTTATTGGTCTGCGTATTTGTGTATATGTTCAGGGCTGATTCATGCAAGATCAGGTTATCTCCTATTGTCCAGGCAATAAAATACCACAAGTCGCAGAGCAATTCTTAGTCCATCAACATGGCAGGAAACCAAGCCAATCAAACTCAAATGGATACAGACAGCGATGCTCCACTATTAAAGGCATGCACATGCAGGCATAGTGGCACATGCAATTTTATTTTTGTGACCAGCTGCACAAAGGCAGAGAATTTCCCAGGCGTGCTGAGTGTAAAGTGAGTCGTATGCACACACGTACCTGATCTGTGCACGCACATGCCGTAACGGCGCTTGCACTCCAAATGCCCAGACCTGTTGCAAACTGTGCCCTCGAACATGAACTTGCTCTTTCCTAAGTAACAGACTTTTCTCACCTGCCTGTCCAGGCCAGAAGTGGAGGTATCACAGTTGTTTCGCTATCCCATTCCTATCCTCTTAGCTTAGTGACTGAAGAAGCATCAGCTGCTGCCAGCAGGACATTCTCATGTCTGCCAGGAGTCTGGATTCACCTGAACTCTCACGCTTCCCACCCCTATTAAAATCCCATGGAAAGCCTGTGTAATATGCACTTGCAGTCTGCACTCAAATCAACTTTTACCCTAGAAGGATGCAGCAGACCGGCTCCATCCACCCTGGGCAGAGTAGCTGCTGTTCTCTGATACGGTAGCTGGCAGAGACAAGACGAGACGAGCACTGGAGCTAACTCGCATGGTTTTGTCACGGGTCTTGCAATAATGGGTGCTTGCAGGAAAGTCCCAAGTCCTGGAGCTATGCGATTATTAACTATGTGAGTCTCAGTATATGTGTGTGTGTACGTATATATACATGTATGTATATATGTGTGTGTGTGTGTGTGTGTGTACATACACACACACACATCCCATATATATTGTCTGAGCGTAGGAGTTTCTCACCCTCATGTTGTTGAGGAAAGCTGGAAACAGGGACCGAAGTGTGACCAAAGGCAGAGACACAGCATGTGGGATCTCAGGAAGGTTAAGCCAAAATCATGATTGGGGGTGGGTGGGGGGCTGACTCATGACATCTGTTGTTCAAAGCTGGCAAACCTGTTTGAACTCGGAGGAGTCTCCACCACAGCAACTTTCCTGTGTGGTTCTCCCTCCCGGCTTGCCCCGCTGGGACTCAGTTGGGTCCTGCCAAGTGCCTCCCAGGCTCTGCAGCCCAGCAGCCGTGCACACAGGGGAAGCCCCGCAGGGAATCTCCACGGAGGACGGCGTTTTGTAATCGGGTTGACTTCCTGTAGAAGTATCGGGGCTGGTGACTGTCAGGCTGCTGCTCATCATGTGACACCGCAGCCCACCCCATCCCACCCAGCGCTGGCTCAGAAGGATCTGACCTCACCCCAGCATCTAGCGGCCCCGAGAAGGAAGTTGGCCTACACAGAATCCAGGGCTGGATGGGAAGCTGTTGACATTCAGAGCAGTATCACATGCTGGCACAAGGGCTCCTTCAGAAAGCAGAAAAAAATCCCCTGCAGGTACCCAGGGACTTGGCATGGAGCATACCAGGCTCAGCTGAGGGCCATCCTGCAAGCACCCGCCAGCAGATCCTCCACCTCAGCTTGCAGAGACCTGTATTCCAGCTCAACACCGGATGTCCGATGCAGATGGACTATGAAAGTGTGTGTGTGTTAGAGCTATTTAGCCTAGTCTTCTCTCTGCAAAAGCCCCCATCTCATAAATCAGAGACTGGCATGCCCGGGCAGTGATGGAGCTTTCCGACTTTCTGTTTCATTTGTGGGAGGATGCATCTCTCCCTGAAAATGTGTCTTTCTGGAGGTGCGAGATTTGCTTTCAGGTGAGGCTCTGCTTGTAGGGGACCCTCAGCACCACAGCCCTGCCTGGCAAGACCCTTAATACCTACTCCCACCGTCTTACTTCTGGCTGTCTCCTGCACAGGCTTTGCTCAGTCCCTGGTTGCTCTAGGGAAGGATTAATATGTTTCCTGGAATTATACTCAAGCTCCATGTGCTGTGACATTCACAGTGCATTCTGGATTTTCACTAGTCACTCCCATAACCCGCTAGCAGAGCTAACCAGAAAGTGATACCACCAAGTACTCAGCCAGTCCTCTTCAATTCACTCGCCATGTGTTTAGGCTTTTTATTATTATTATTGCAGAAAAGACTAAATCCCCAGGTATAATAACCTGCACAAACCCACACTTCTGCCAGAATTTGGCACTGGCACAATCCGTGAATGCACGAATGCAAAGCTGGCGAATTTTGGTGATGCGTGTGAAGGGACCCTCTAAAAAAAGGTGGGCATAAAAGTCCCTGATTCATTTTGGACACCCAGCCAGGATAACACTGAATCGGTCTATCATGGGTGCAACTTAGGCAACCAGTATGATTGCAGAAAAACCCTGGAGAAAGCCATGGGCAGATGTGGAAGCCAGAAGCAAAATTCGTGCCCACGTTCGCTCAGTAGTTGAGCCTTCTGGTTTGTCACAAAGCGGTGGGTGACCGTGAGTCATATAGGGATGATACCCAGCAGGTTGCACCCTGCTGCCACCACCTTTCACCAGTATCACTCCATAGCAATACAAGTGTTACATCTACTTACACCAAGGCTTGGCAACCTACAGCATGCAGGCTGGATCCGCCCCACAAAGCCAGACCCAGCGGCAATTCTGCAGCATGGGCTGGGAGTATGGTGCTGGCAAAGGGAGCGTGACCCACCTTCAGATCTGCACTGATCTGGCCCACTGCTCCTACATGGTTGCCAGTCCCTGGTCTACACCCTGAAAAAGCTGTCACTGTGTGAATGCAGCAACCATGGCTCATGAATGGCCTTTCACGCCTCCTTTTTCCTGAAGGAATAATAGAGCTTCATGCACAGTCTCCTGCAGCTCCTGCCTGGTTCTCTGAACCTACTCTTCTCTGCATGAGAGGGAAGGGTCAATGACACAACATGCACATGCACCTCCATGGCCCCATTGTGTCACCCAGGAAATGGGAGCCCTTGAGCACCACCCAGCTAAGTGCAAATCCGGCAGGAATAAGCGGAGACGGCCGTACCTCCTTGAGCAGTGTCCTCTCGTACTCCTGCAGCTGCTGCTGGAAGCCGAAGTTGGGGCTCACGTAGGAGCGGACTGCTCTGGTGGCCGCCAGGCACTCTTCCCAGCTGAGCTCCGTCACGGTCATGAGGTACGCCACCAGGATGGTGGTGCTGCGGGAAACCCCAGCCAAGCTGGCATAGCCGGAGACGTAGGAAGGGGAAAAAAAGAAGTGCACATGGGTACATTGCAAACCCAGGGGAGGCTTTTCCATATCACGGTGACTCAGGCTGCATGAGAAATGGGCAATTCGTTGCCTAGGGACTATTGTCAGTGCCTTCAGTTCAATACCAGGGCTTGGTTTTCTTTTCTGTCATCCCCTGAACCAATCCTCAAATCCTGAGTGGTGCAGAACTTGCCTTCCACTTTGCACAGGTCAGCCCAGATACACCCATATCCTGAATCGACCCAGGCCAAGATCCGGGGCCAGTCTCAGCACCAGCCCCAGCTGAGGGGGTTGAGCTTTGGGGCCTGCCTACGTGGCAGTCACTGGAGGGAAGTGTTAACTCAGCCTTGGGGGGTCCCTGTTGCTGTGGCCACTCTGCTAGTGGCTTGGGGATGTGAGCTGCAGTCGCTGCAGTGACTGAAGCACGGACGTGCTCTTGGGCCAGCTCAGCTAAGATTCAAGGCCAAGGCTGCACTCAGCGTTCAGGTGGAAATCATAAACGCCTCATACAGGCTGCCTGCCTGGGATGCAAAACTGCATCATGAGCAGCGTGAGCTGAATTTCACTTTGATCGGCATCATGAAACCACAGCGTGAGCCCAAGTCGATAGGTGGTGGAAGCCCTGGGGAAACGAGCCTGGAAGGGCTGGGCATGGCTGTAGCCACAGGGTGGTCTCCGGCTGCTAAAATGTCCAAATTGTAGAGCAGAGGCAAGCAAGTCAGTGCACTGGGGAGATGGTTACAGGCAGTGCAATGGAAACAAGGGTCAGGAGAGCCTTCTGCATATTAACCTGGGGAAGGAGGAACTGCACAGGGTCTCCGGAGACCTGGAGTTTGCTCCCACTTCCCATCTCTGATGCTCTTCCTCTATGGCAACAAACAGACATCAAATCTGTCCCAGTATAAACCATTTTATGCCACGACAAAGCACACTTGTTCAGTCATCCACCGCCCTTGTCCTGAGACAAAGCCTTAAAAGATTCACAGGATAAGAGGTACTAAAAGTTTATCCCAGGACATCACGAAGTGCACCTGAATGATCATCCCTGGATTGCACCATTGAATCAATGGCAGAAAAGCAGCAGTGCCTTCAGCCGCTCACTACACCCTGAGTAGGAGAGTAATGTGTGTCCACGGCAATCCCAGGAGATTTCTGTTCCAGGATACACAGGCATAATTTGATGTCTGTGCCTAGCCTGTGTGTTTGTGCAGCGCACTGGAGTCCGGGTCCCGACACAGTCCTCTTGGCACGATAGCCATAGCAACAAAACTAATGACAACAAATGGGAGGGGATGAGAAGGGAACAATATTAGCAAGTGGGGAAGCTGGCGGCAATACTGACCAGTGAATGAGGCAGCCTCCCCCATGCAGCCGGCATTCGTGAATAAATTTGATGCACTCCTTAAAATGCTGTATCCTAGGAGAAGAGAAATGACAAAGTTAGGCAGAGCAGAGCTGGTGGATCTGGGTCAAACTGTTTTCAAGGAAGCTCCTCCTTTCTGATTCCCAGTAAAAAGCACTGAGTAATTCTCAGGGCAGGGGACAGCCTTCGGGAGACATAATTTCTGAGAACTGCTCTATCCTTTCTAGGCCACTGCAGCTGCTTTGGCCTGTAGACGAGGAGGTGGCTGGGATTGTTGGCAGGGGCTGGGAGCTCGTCCCACTGAGATCCCTCTGACTCAAAGCTAAAAACCAGAAAACTCAAGGAGAAGGGATGTGACTGGGACGGGGCTTCTTGAGGTTTCCCACACAGCCAGCTGTCCAGACCGGAGCAGCGAGATGCTTTTGAAAGTGCTCCTTGCGCAAGATGTGATGAGGTTGGTCATTTAACCCAGTTCAAAAGGGGACTAGACACATTCATGTTGGCCAGGTGCATTAGGGGGGTTTAAGCATGACAGTTTGGGGCATCATTTAAGTATTCGACCACTTCAGTGATGAGGCCAACCTCTAGGACAACTGGTGCATCTGCTAGAGAGATTTCCTGCCCCACGCGTGGGAAGGGGCCAGTCACCCAAACAGCCACATCCTGATGAGTTTAACTCCACAACCATGAGAGGAATCTGGCCCCTGAACTCTGCACCAGTTGATGAATGGAGACAACAACATGCAGCCCCCCGGATCCAAAGGCCGTAAGGGATGGGAAGGAAAGGCTTGCTCATGAGCAGAGACTTGTCACTTCTCCCAGGCCGCAGGTTTGCATGGGAAGGCGCCTGCCCTGGGGAGGGTTGCTGGCTTGCTTTATTAAGAATGAGCCATGAAGAGAGCAGACAAGTCTGTTCCTGTTGCAGGCAATGCCAATTCGATGGGATAGCTTAGAAAGCGCGGCCCTGAGTGACCCGGGAAGGGGGGGCAGGCCAGGGCTGGTGCCAAGAAGCAGACGATTGCATGTGGAGAGTGGGTTACGCTCCCGAGGCAGGGCCCAGCCAGGGGACAGAATGAAGTTAACCCCTGTGTGCAGTTAACAAATGGAGGCAGAAGGCTTCCCCATCTACAGTGAGGAAGGGGCCGAGGCAAGAGGAGACCCCAGGAGCCCCTAGGTACCCACCTGCCTGCCAGGGCACTAAACCATAGCCCTGCACCAGACTGGGACCCCACAGACCTGCTGTCAGCTCCTGGTTCTGCCACAGCCTCCCTAAGAGACCTTGGTCCAGTCACTTACCCCCACCCCATGGTTTCAGGATGGCATCGAGAGGCAGATCTGGAGGGCATACATGGGGCTGGTACGAAGGGCACTGACCTGTAGCACAGGGGGTGGTTATCCTGACTTTCTCCCACCTCTGGCCTATAACTGGGAGCCCTCTGGGGCAGAAACCATCTCCTCCAGAGCTTAGCACCAGGATCTGGGGGTCTCCAGGGTTTTCCCTTGTGCCATCTACAGTGCGACTCCATGCCCACCCCAGGAGGCCATTGCAATGCTCAGTGCTATGCGGCATCTAGTAGGAAAACCTCCCCCTGCTCGTCACCTCAGCACCATCCAAGAGCGTGTTGCAGAAACAGACTGGGCTGGGTCCGATGTGCGGGGGCCATGCTCCTCTCTGAGCTGACCCAGCCAAGCAGGAGAAAAGGAGTAGGGAGCTGGGAACAAGGGCAGGTCCCTGAGTCCACAGGGTCCTCCGTCCTCTCCGTTCACGTGGGATGGGCCATCAAGGAAAGTGGGAGAGGAGATCCCCATTCTGACCTCAGCCACACCAGTGCAAATTGTCTGGAAGTCACTGGGGGCTGAGCGGAGACTGGCATCTGCTCTGCTCTCCCAGCCTCGGGCAGGGGCCGGGGTTTCTGCATTGTTCCTCGACCCCTGTCCACCGGGCCCATTGACTTGCTCCACACGATGCCCAGCTCAGTCTAGATTTGCTATTCCACAGTGATCTTGTGGCCGCTCTCACAGGGCCCTGCCAGGCGGGCAGGGAGCCAGTAACAGCTCCTTAACCTTGAGCAAACCCCTATCCCAGGGAAGCTGCAGACAGATGATGTGCGCACTGGTGTAATGCAGTCCCATCCCTCATCTTTCAGGTGTCCCTCATCACTGGATGGGCAACAGCTACCCCACTTCAGGGGGCTGCATCATACGTCTCTAGGCACCAACAGTGTTTTAACAAGGCAGCAAGTGCCCAAAGCACGGAGAGACCGTTCCTCCAGGACCCACCTGGCTCTCTGCAGACATCTCCCTTGCAGGCAGGCAGTAAAGAGAACAGGTGGTACGTGAGCCTCCGGTGATCTTCAGCCTCTCCTCTTTCGAACGAATATAGCAAAGGCACATGGCTCATCCACACGCTTTCCCCTTTTTCACCGACTGGCTGGAAACATCCTGCGCCCTCAACAAAAGTTGCTCTCAACGCTTAGTTCCTGCCTCCCGGCATTCGCGTTTCCATGCACTCTTCAGCATTTTGCCCCTTCTCGCTATCCTTATTTCACTGCTTGGTCCTGACCCCGACGCCTCTCCTAGAAATGGATGGGGTGGTGCATTATCATCACTCACCGGTCTTCTTCTTTCCATGCTCCTTTGCATTCTTGACCGAACACTGGGGTCACACTCAAATGCTGCCCAAACGCCTAACTCGGCCCCGGGAGCCCGACCCACGGCAGACCCCAGTTTCACCCAGGCTCCATTTAGTCATACCCACCCCCTCTCCCTGCTCATCCCAGCTAAGGAAGTGGAAAGCAAATGCTATGAATGAAGACTGAGTCTTTCCATGCAATCACAGATCCGTATGGTTAGGTCACTAGAGCCGCTCTCTGACTGGGCAATGTTTTCTGTGAGTCAATCTCCGGCACTAACACGCATAGGAATTTCTCTTAAATACTTTCCATTACACTTGTAAGGGGGGAAAAAAACACCCTTAGCCTTGTAATTATGGGAGTACTTGGTTCTTTGGAAGAGACTGAAACCTTTGGCTTCCCGCTGCACAGTACTCCAGCCCCAGAAATGCCCCGCGAGCCAGGACAGTTTGCAAAACTGTTTGCTTTAGGTTTTTATCCTAGTGCTGACTTCCCCACCAAGGGAACCTTCTTTTGCTGACTCTTGCATGTCAGCCCCCAGAGTCCTAGCCCTTGTGCTTCCAAATATCAGCCCCGTGGACCAAATGCTTTTCCTGAGCCACCACCCAGTAACAGGTACAAATTCCCACCGTCATCATTGCAGCTTGCAGGGCGCTCGGCGTTGGCAAGGTCTCTGGTGCCAAGCTTCTCTTAGAAATCCTTTCTAAATTCACCCGGATTGTGAAATCCGTGGCACAAACCGATGTGCAAAAAATAGCTTGTTGAACAAGTCTTCCTTCCTGTGGCCAAATCTTCGTAGACATGTTACAAGTGCAGTGATGAGTTTAAAAAAAAAAAAAATCCCTAATCTTGCTGAAGAAGGACTTTTCTTGTAAAGCTTCTCCTTCTGCTCAGTGGAAACATGAGCAAGCAGTATTACTGGGACAGGAATGTCTTTCCCCGAAAGATTTGGTTTCCAATCCAGCGCTAGCACCAAGGACGTAGCGACGTATGAGCAGTAAGGAGGCCACTTGAAAATCTGACATTGCGTGGGGGTGCTTCTGCGATGATTTCATAGACATAGGGCTGGAAGGGACCTCAAAAATGATGATAAATGATAAAAATGAGCAGATCTTGGGAGTAGAAGGGAGGACCTTCACTCCCCCCAGACACAACTCCATGCTCGAGCTGCATTTTCTGACCCATGACGCTCACAACTGAGGGGCCAACCCTATAGGTTCAGGATGGCATGAAGAGGCAATTGGATCTGGAGGGCACTGGCCTGCCCAAAGCCAATTGACAGCCACTGGGCCAGCTGCTGACTCTGCCTGGACACGACCTGGCCCTTGGGCCCGCTTCCCTTCTGCAGATCATGTAGGAGTGCTTAAGAAAGGGAAGAGATACTCGACCACCACCCCACACATGTACCCTCCATCCTGACCATGCAACATGATGGGAGGAGAAGGAATTAGACTGGCACAGGGGTGAGCAAGACTACAGATTTTGCACACAAGAGGAGAGCGTGAGAGGAGGGATCTCCACAGACATCCTAAAGCCAGATCTACCCTTCGTGCCATAGGGAGACCTGACAACATGCATGTGCCCAGGGTGACATTAATAGGGTGGCTTGCCTCTTCAAGGGCCCGGCCAGCAATGCACAGTTTTCTGGACAGTCCAGTGTTCCCCATAAAGAAAAGCCCATATAGACTGAGAAGCAAGGGGGACTGAGGAGATGCTGCTTCGGGGTGAAAAGCTGAGGTTCCAAAATGTCAAAAATTGGAAGCTTTTGGCATTTCTGAAACAGAAGTCTTTCAAACAAATGAACAAAAGTCTTCTGTTAAAACAAGCTGTGACCATTTACCAAACATTTCTCCTAATGTTAATCACAATCTTAAACATCTATATGGCTGAGGAGGCCCATTGCAGGTTGCTTGATCATCTTCAGAGAAAGACTCCACTCAATAATGTCTCCAGTTTCTAAAGCACGAGCAGCTCCTAGATCCCAGATTCCCAAATATTGACCCTGCCGGTGCCTATCCCCCTCAAACAACACCCCATCATGGTACTCCAAAAGCAAAGCAAGTGGGGCATGAAGTACAAGGTGCCATCACCTTTGCTCCAGCACCTGCTTTTATGGGAAAAGAGGGTTTCATGTTGTGCAAACAGCCACAATTAGTCCACAGGAGGGAACCTGCTACGTCTGCTAGACCAGCAGCTCTTAACCTTTTGCACCTTATGTCCCACCAAGCATTTTCTCTAAAATCCCTGGTCCCACCATGATAAAAACAAAACCCCACTTTTTTTCCAAGAAGTGCATTTTTACCTTTACATGCATTTTAGTATTGCATTAATCATTAATGGAAATTTTGAAGGACATTAAAAGTCCCACCTACACGACCTTCACTTCCCACCGGTGGGACATGTCCCATTGGTTGGGAAACACTGTGAGGTTGGCTGTGTGCACCTTGCGGCACTAAAACAAATCGGTATTTCAGGACAGCGCTGTGAGTGGAAGCCACTGGGTTCTGTAAAGGACAGAAAACCATGTGCCTCTATGCTCACAATTACAGATACCGCTTGATACAGCTAGTCCAAATTTCTCCACTTGCATTGAAAAAAAAAGACTTTTTTTCAGAAACAATTTTTCACCAAAAACGACTTGTCTTTTCATGAAGTATTTGGTGACTTTTCTCAGTATTGCTTGCAATGTGTGCACGGCGAATGTTATCCATTTTTATCAAAATGCTTACCAATCGTTTTCATTTGCAAAAATGCCGATAATCATTTTGCTCTTGTTGGCAATAATGCTTCTGAGGACAGGTTACACGACAGCAGATCCACCACTCCTTGTGAGTGAGTTCTCCATAGGCTGGAGAGAGGCCAGGTTTCTCCAGCATCTCCGCTATCTCAAAATACCAGAATCTATTTCTTTATTTTAAAGCAAATGAAAAATGGATCCGTTCTGAATCCTGTGCAACAGAAACAACTTTGACATTTTTGAGGAAACTACTTTTTCATGTTTTTACCAGCCTGGAGCGCACAGGCACATATACAGCTGGGCGTGTGTTTTCAAATCTAAAATTATGACTAACAGTCTTAAACGATGCAGGCTGTGTTTAAGTTCAGCATAATGTCGAGATCATGCTAGCGAGGCAATTAAAATATGAACTTCTCATCGATTTAAAAATTGACGCTTGGCTCCTGGTGCGAGCTAGGACTTACAGGTTCTGAGCGGACGAATCCGACGCCGAGATGCAGAGGTACGTCACGTCCTGACACAGAAAGAAAGTAACATCATGAAGATCCTTTTGCTGCTTTGAATGATGAGTGCTCGCCCTGTCCCGTTTCTACCTCCCCACTCAAAGCGCAACCATCTCGAGATGAAATGCAGACCCTCCTGAAACCCAGGAGTTTCCCTATTGATTTCAGAGAGAAAGGAGGTCGTATAGCCTGAGGGTTACTACACAAGATCTACAATGGCTGCAGATTCGCACAGATTCACTGGACCTCATGGTCCCTTCCAGGCCCTAAACCTTAAACTAGACAGGCCAATACAAAGGTTTCTTCAAGCAACTGGCACTGATTTTTTGGGCTCAGTCAAATGGAGAAATCTAGATCATTCATAAAATCCACTTCAGGCCTGAAATGATTTGTATTTGTTCCTGACTTAAAGCACTGTCCATCACTTAAGAAGGTCAATGCTGACGCTCAAAGTCATTCTGCTCCGGCTATCCACAGCCATCCTTGGCCGCACTGAACCCAAGAAATTTTTTTTCCATTGACATCAAGGGGTCCATCCACCCACTGGAGCTAATTAACGAATAATACAGTGAGCCCAGCTCTAATACAAAAGAAAAGGGCCTTCCTTTCCTTCACTCGCTTGAGGGTTAACCTGGAAAAAATTGAAATGCAGCCAGTGTCTCAGCTCTGAAATCCTGGGTCAACCTGAAGGAAGCACGCAAGACTCTCAGCATCTCACAAACCCATGGTAAAGAGTTGGTCAGGGGCCTCAACACAATGCAGTCTCCCTTCCCAGATGCATCACGGTTGCAGCTGTAGATAGGGCTTTTACCATGCCCTGAAACTGTGCTAACACCATGAATTCAGCAGTCTGGGCATGTGTTTCAAATAGAGACTGGATGAGTATCTCCCTGGGCTGGTTTGGGAATGGCAACTCCTGCTTTTGTGCAAGGGCTTGAACTTGCACAGCTCTTCCACCCCTACAAGCCTATGGGTAAAACAGTTCGTTCCCACCTACTCCATGATGTAGAGCTGGCATGGGCTCAAGTTGGGATAGCATACTATAATGGACATAGATGGATTTCTCCTGGCGGGGCCGGACGCCGGTCAGGAAGAGGCTCTATCGACAGGGATGGAGGAAACTGCTCTCACAAATGTCATTTCCTCTTTCAGCTATTTAAATATACACATCCATCAGGAATGCTGTGCTGTTGGGAAGGCGCTTCTATTTGTTTCTTTAAAACAATGCTGCCTCCCTCTCCTCAGGGCTGCACTAAAATGAGAAAGAAGGCTTTTTTCTGCTCAGTGAAGTGGATGGGAATCCTGCCTGAACAATGTCCTGGGTCATGTAGAGTCTCCCACTCGTCTGTCCCTCTGGGGGTGCCTCGGATAAACTGCATTAGAGCCTGTGGTTTCTTTTGCACCGCAACAAACTCCTTTAAATGGCAAAAAAAAACCCACAAAACAACCTGTACATGTAATGTGTGATGCAATTAAACTGCAAAAAAAAAAGGGCAATTTTTCGTCAAGCGCCCCATAAGAACTCAGAAAAGTTTGAGTGCACTGAAGGCAGTGGAAAGACTTCCCTTGGGTTCAGTGCACTCTGGCACAAGTTTGCAGGGAGCATCTGGCTTTGGGACTACATATCTGAAACAGGGACCATGGAGAACATAAATCTTAGGCCAGAAGCCATTGCTCTAATTCCTTGTCTCACCTCCTGCAGAAGACAGAGCGCTACCACACGCACGTCCTGTTTCAAGCCTTTCATTACATGCATTCACTGCATTTTTAAATGTCATGGATTGAGCAGGGTGAAGCAGCACGCCCCTCCGCAAGCTGCCCCCCGCCCCAAAGCAGCTTCACCTCCATACAGACTTGTGGGTATCTCTAGATACCGTGGAGATAAGCAGGTTGAGGGGCAGGCTGTGCTCATATAGAGCAGCTGTTGACAGGCGAACAGCTGGGGGGAAGACGTTACGTTGCTTCACGGTGAGGAAACGGCCCCCCCAGTTCTTGACAAATACGACCTGGGTTTCGTGGCCCTTTGAGGCAGGCAGGTGGGTCAGGAGGCATCCAAACAGAACAGGCACTGCTAAAGGGAGTCCACAGCCTGAACACAGATGTGGGAGCCAGGAGCTCCTGAATTCAAACCTTCCCTCCCACATCTGGAGGGGAGTCAGGTCTGCTACTTCCCCTTCGGCACAGTGGAGATAGCCCCCTTTCCTCACCACCTCAAAGCAGTGATGCAAGCAGTCCACTGAGGAAGCTAAACATGGTTGTTCCTGCCCTGACCCCAGGATGAAGCTACGGTCAGAGAAGATAGGTCAGACCCCCGTACCTTACAGTCTCCTCCTGACCTGCTGGGCATGATCCTGGACCCACATGACTCTCCCGTTGGGAGTGGAGGTGGGGTGGAGGTCCAGGAGGTGGGGGTGAGGGGCTTGGGGCACAGGTCTGGGAGAGCAGGGGCCACAGCTCGGAGCTGAGGGGCATTGGCAGCGCTGCCTGCGGGGAGCCCGGGTTTGGGACAGCAGGAGGCAGCAGGTTTGAGTGAGATTGGCATACGAGCAAACACTGGGGTATGACTGGGATACGAGACTGAACAGCCCAGCTGGAGCCAAAGGGCACTGGGCAGCTTGTGGTCAGGACAGCTATGAGGGGAGGCCATGAAGCCCATGGCTTCAGCAGTGACCCAGAGGGAGCTGGGCCAAGGGACAATGTGATTCCAGCCTTTCCAGAATCAGCCAGAGATGCGTCGCTAAGCAAGAGCCAGGATCCGTCTCCACCGCTTGGATTGCAGGAGGTGGAAGGAAAGGCTTGGGGGTCTCTGTCCTACCTCTTCTTCTCTCCCCCTCTCTAGTTATTCAGACCCATCCCTTCTCTCCAGGCCTATCCATGTGCCCATCCCCCTGCTAGCAACCTGCCGACAGCTCTCTTGCTCTGCAAAGCAGGCTCCTTCCCTTCCTTCCTGCCTTGCATCCTTGCAGTTTCCCAGCAGCCCCCACACCAATTAGCCACCAGCAACACCATATAGATGTAGCTACTCTCCTTCCACTTTAGAAG